CGACTAATGTGAAAGCAGTATACGGTTGAAAACACCCGGAGAACACCCCACTTTTCGTTACAAAAAATCTGAGAGAAATGCAACCAAATTTCATTTATCTTTATACCGAATGATGTGAGAGGTCTATTGAAGCGTTCGATTCCGAGTTCGAAACACATACACAAGTTTAGTATATCTAAATTATATGTGGACAAATCTAGATGTAATTTGACAAATATTGGAACTAAATAGATACAACTTGTCTGGTGAAAACATGAAAAACTAAATATTAGATGATAAGAAATAAAACCGAAGTTCACCTCCAGCAGTCAACCGTCAGAAGGACTAAAAATGTATGCATAATAAAAAAAACAAGAAACACATCGAAACATGGGGATGTAATAAACACAAATACATATATGTTTCTCAAAATAATAGAACATGTCCTAGATTTAGACATCTCAATTCTTGTTGATTGAATAGAATACTCAAACCACATCCGTATTGGGGGTCATCCTGAAAATAATCGCAAAAGACATAATTCTGAGGAAACCAAGAGACATCTCGCTGCCAGGAAACAGACCTTGATTTCATTCCTACCTCAAATTATCCTCATGAAATGAAACCAGGTGTAATATATTCTTCTAACTTGGAAAGTGATCCTGGTTGTAGATTTGCACTTGGCATCGAATGACGTGAATGAAAGGCTTTGGTGGTGTGGACGTGATTTCAAACATGGTTCATGACGGATCTGTGACAAATCTTGAAAGTGATTATTTTCAAACATCTTCCTCTTTGGCGGAAATTGCAGGGACATGGATCAAGCACCAGGTTCACATGAAGTCGACCCGAGGCATTCACCGTATAGTAGGTATATGGTGATACACAGTGACTTATTGCACGGAAAGCTGTCCACTAAAAGCGTAGAGGCACATTGTCGCCCCGGGTGGGGGGGGGGGGGGGGGGGGCTCGTGAGCGTGAGGGAGGGGTCTAACTTTCCTTAAGTTGACTCGAAATATTCACAGCATAGGAGGACATAAATGAACTTACTAAGTGGAAAGAAGTGGACATAAGCGTAAGGTTACATTTCATTGGGTGGGGGAGGGGGGGGGGGGGGGGAGTCGTTGATGCCTCTTGATCGAATATCGACTTTATAGTTTGTTTTAAAAAAAGGATACGTTTTGTGTGCTATAAATATCACTTCGTTCTCAAAATAAACTAAATAGGATATTAAGATTACATTGCCTAAACAGAAGAATATTTGGTCACCTAATTACCCGAATATGAAGTCACAGTTGCCTGAAAAAAAGAATCTAGGAATTTGACGGGATCGAGTGAGCAGTACTCTACCTAATACACATGGGTCCATTCTATAGCTTTCCCCCTTTGATCGACACTTACCCATTAAGGTAAAGGGGTTTGCCTCACATTGATCAACTCTTGTTTCTGAATATCAAGTATCCTTATATACCACTACACACTTCATTGTGATTTGCGATTTGCGATCATTGCGATCTAGAAATGAACGAATACGTGCGTCGCAGAAGCCTACCAATAGGGACTTTAGATTTGCACGTCAACAGCTTTGACTGCAATTGTGTGACGTCATTTTAAGGCACTGCGCATGCGTTACGTCGTCTCAGTCGGCGATCGAGAATGCGTCAACTTTGATTTTCCTAAATCTAGAACATACATACATACATACATACATATTGATATTTATATAGCGCCTGTACATGCTCAAGGTACTAGTATGCCGCGTGCGCATAAAATATATAGTTCCTCAGGTAGACAAAGGAACATCCCTTCCCTGCTATTATGTAAAAAATTGTAGAACAGGTGTCACATGCATATTCACCTGTTCTACACATTTTTACATAATAGCAGTGAAGGGATGTTCTTTTGTTGAGGGTAGAATGAGGAACTGTATACTTTGTCCTCTTTCTTTGTCCGTGATGTTCATAGTGTTACTTCCTGCATGCAAGTATATCGTCGAAGATTTCTAAAAGATTTCTAATTGTAGTCAACATGGGCAGTTAAGTACGTTGACACGCATGATCAGTCGGCGTTCGTCGTGTTCTCGTCCACTCAATCTAAAAGTCCCTAACGTCGAAAAGAAAGGCTCCTTACATTCTATTTGTTGAATGCTTTACAGTGTTTAATCTTTGATAAATGCTATTTATATTCCGCTTGGAGAAGTGATGTCACTCAATTGGCGTCTTTAACTAGAAACACCTTAAAATGCCTGAAGCTTGGTCATTTCGCCGTGAAAATTGTATAATATATTTTGTTTAATGAGATATGCTAGTAAACATATAAGAAGTCTTATTAACACCTTAAAATGCCCGAAGCTTGACCATTTCGCCATGAAATTTTAGAATATATTTTGTTTAATGAAAAAAACATGCTAGTAAACACACAGGAAGTCTTATTAAGACCTTACAATGCCTGAAGCTTGTCCATTTCGTCATGAAATTTTAGAATATATTTTGTTTAATGAGATATGCTAGTAAACATACAGGAAGTCTTATTAACACCTTAAAATGCCTGAAGCTTGTCCATTTCGCCATGAAATTTTAGAATATATTTTGTTTAATGAGATATGCTAGTAAACATATAAGAAGTCTTATTAACACCTTAAAATGCCCGAAGCTTGTCCATTTCGCCATTAAATTTTAGAATATATTTTGTTTAATGAGATATGCTAGTAAAGTCTTATTTTTGACAATATTTGCTAACGGGCTTTTCATGCACGCATAATTATGATGATTATTTCAATAGTATACCCATCATAATCAGCTGCTAAAAAGAGATGCATGAATATTAATCAAATGGTAAAGCCTTTTTCCCCCTACGGTCTCGTTTTCCAGATGACAGCCAACAAAACGGTACCACAATCTAACAATAATATATTCTATTCAAAATAGAACAAAAACATTGTATGTGGAGATTAAATGCCTTGTCCTGCAGTCATGCATTTCATTTGTCTCACATCTCCTCGGGGATTTCTAATCAGTAGGTTAAATTTCTTGGCCTACCTCCAGAACTGGACGGATGTTTAAAATCCAGATACATTAACGCTACAACTGCTCGAGGAAAGTATTGACAGCGTAAACAATTTCACTGATTCAAAATTAATATTGGATTATTGTCTAACATAAGAACATGGAGAAACTCTATACTCCCACAAACTTTAACCCCTTTAATGCTATACATCTACTGTAATCACGAAGGCAAAACGAAATTATTTAAATATCATTATATATGCCTTTTAGATTTTGTTTTTTACTTTCATAATAGTTACGAAGAAGTATTGATTTACGCAGAAAAAGTTAAGGTTGGCAGTGTATATTAATTAGATGAAATCGAAATGCAATTTAATTGCTTGTTGAGAGGCCTGTATGCTAAGGGGACGTTTGTATAAGAAACTTAAAACAAACGTAAATATCTAAACATTTCATTTTAAGGGGATATATTCACTCGGTATGTCATGTACGTGATATGAAGTCATTGCTCATGAAAAATTGGACTGATTTTGAGTCACAACAGTTTTAATATAGAGGAAAGGGAAATCCAAACAAGATATTGAGTTTCTTCGAAAGAGAGCAGAAAAAAGAGTGGTTAAACTTTAAGCAACCTCAGATAAACGACAAGAACGTTATTTCTTTTAGAAAGTTAACATAACTATATGTTTAGTATTAAAATAAAAAATGGCGAGAAGGTACATGTATGTATACTAGAACCAATATAACAACTATATCATCTATTTTTTTTTTACTACAGACAAAATTACCACATTCTTCCATTTTTAAGTTTATGATTGAAAAATATATTTTCTTTTATTATAAGATTTGCCAAACATGCTTTTTTAATTTTGAGCCTCAAGATAAAAATTGTGCAGGAGAATTCATTTTCGATGTAAAACAAAAAGTCACGTATGCCTGAATTGTCTGATTATTTTTCTAGTTCACCCAATTCAACTCATTGTTTTCACAATGGCTAAAACGATGGATTGTTTTTAATCAAAGAAAAGCTTTGGCAGATGCGCATACCGGAAAACCACTAAAGGAATGCATTTTGGGATGGTGCATTTTTTTTAAAGACGGAAAAGTAATCGATTTTAATCTCAAGACTTTAGTCGCCCAAGGCTTCATTTTCGTCGAAATTTGCAATCGTAGAGATCTGTGTTTGAGAGTCATGATGTATCGTTTTACAGGGCGACAACGAGACACGGGTTAGCACTTGCAAGTATCGCATATTTCCCATAGGGTTTATATCCAATTGTTTTTATATCAACATTGATACAGCCGCGTTATTAGGGGACATGATAAAGTAATATATAGCAAATAGGATTGAAAAGCATAATCTCCTTGAGATACAAGGACGAAATTATAACATATAAAAAACCAGTGTGATTTTATAGAAAAGGGATATAAAAATGAGATAAGCATTTAAAAAAAAAGTATACAAAAGTATAATCTAAGGATTGGTATAACGACAAAAATATGTCACTTGGGGATGAAACAACTAATTTGTCTTAACGTGAAGATCTTTGAGGAATATATATATAATAATACGCGTATATCAAAGTTTTATTCTCATTATTTTGCAAACATGGTAACACTGAAGTTTAATCAATATGAGTCAAGATGATGAGATAATACTAAAAAGAGCAATGATTCAGATTGACAGGTTGGAGCAACATTTTGAAGATAAAAATCTTTCACGGATGAAGAAAAAGATGAAAGAAACTTGTTTGGTTGAAACCTGACTCGAATTTTACGTTGTGCATTTGCAGCATTTGTATTCAAATGGGTCCTTGGACAAACAAAATCCACGAAGCTCTATTTTCCCTCTGCATGATGTCATGAATTACTTAACATCAAATAATAATATTCAAAGTGCATGTAAATTATAAAACGTTCCATACTTTATAAACACTCAGTGTTGATCCATTATTACATGACTGTACCTACTTTTCTGTAAAAGACAAGGTATTTTTGTATTTGTTATATACTCACCCATGTCGTTATAATTATCACCATAGAGATACTCCGGTAACGTCTTATCGGGTGAGAGTAGGGCACGAAGCATGAGGTAATTATCAAGAGCCGAAGAGCGAGAAAGCTGACGTGAGCTCTGTTCTGCAACAGGTTGGCATTGTCCCAACCGAAGAAGAAGACAAGCTGCTAGCAGGATGGCTGTACTGAGCTGGCAAAGTGATCGCTTCATCATGGACAAACGAACGGCGACGCCCTGGATGATCAGTGAAAGGGAAGGTGTTCAAAGTGTGTCCTCAAGCGTTTCCTTGCTCAATTGATACGCCTTGGCAAATTTAAGCGGTCTGAAACATAAGAAGAAAAAAAATGTTGAATGTTCTATCCAATATTCTAACAATAATCTTCATAAAATTTTCTATCAAATATTCTATTTTTTTAATATATATTTTTTTACATTTTTTATCAAATATTCTAGTAGGCCAACCTTAGATATTATACAAAATGAAATAGAAGATGCTACATATATTAGTTGAATATCTGTTTACGCAGAAATGCAGACGAAAAACGTGTCTGGGTACATCCTAAGAGAATGTAGGTTGTCAGTAAAATGCAACAGCTCTCGATTTATTATAAGGAGAGAAAAAAAAGTAGCCGAATATACCATATCCTTTTCACGAGGAAAGCGATACAGTTACCGGAACTTCAAGCTCATGGGATTCAAGTGTGGACTTGAAAAAAAAAACTGTTAAAGAAATTTATTCCAAGTTCATGACCTCTCTCTAGAAGGTGATTTGTAAGAATCGCCCGTCTTTTATGCACCATAAACAACAATTACACACGTGTAGAAAGTGACGTACTATATTTTATTTGCCATCAATTATTGGAAGAGAGTGAAATAGAGATCACGACGGACTTTCAAATTAACTCAATTTCTATGGCTGTGACGGTGTAAATTGATAGTTCATTAACGGTAATGGATGACATGTGGTGCAAAGAAATAAATGGTCTCGATACAATTTTACAAACACACACCCACACACACACACGCCAACAGACACAGCCATGCACTCGCAGTTAAGATATACGTATAAATGTCTAAAAGCTTTTAATTGAGGAAAACGGGAAAAATATAGAATGTAAAAGTAACGAGTTATATATTCTAAAACTGGCTCCTTCGCTCGGTGTAAGAATAGTCTGTCTATAAAAGAACATTATTCTCGAGCGACCAACACATTTACCTACATCGTGAGGAGAGGACCACTGCATGGTTACGGATTCAAACCACTAAAAGTCTAAAAAGCTGCGTCGATTGGCGCAGAAAATGGAAAGGGGTTCGTCCTGAACAGAAAGATAGAGAGAGAGAGAGAATGCAAAGAGCTATTTAGAGGAAAGAGAGAGATGGGGGCAAAGAGCAATTTAGAAGAGAGAGAGAGAGAGAGAGAGAGAGAGATGGGACAAAGAGCAATTTAGAGGAGAGAGAGAGAGAGATGGGACAAAGAGCAATTTAGAGGAGAGTGAGAGAGAGAGATGGGCAAAGAGCAATTTAGAGGAGAGAGAGAGAGAGAGAGAGAGATGGGGCAAAGAGCAATTTAGAGGAGAGAGAGAGAGAGAGAGAGAGAGATGGGCAAAGAGCAATTTAGAGGAGAGAGAGAGATGGGCAAAGAGCAATTTTGAGGAGAGAGAGAGAGAGAGATGGGGCAAAGAGCAATTTAGAGGAGAGAGAGAGAGAGAGAGAGAGAGAGGGGACAAAGAGCAATTTAGAGGAGAGAGAGAGAGAGAGAGAGAGATGGGGCAAAGAGCAATTTAGAGGAGAGAGAGAGAGAGAGAGAGATGGGCAAAGAGCAATTTAGAGGAGAGAGAGAGAGAGAGAGAGATGGGGCAAAGAGCAATTTAGAGGGGAGAGAGAGAGAGAGATGGGGCAAAGAGCAATTTAGAGGAGAGAGAGAGAGAGAGAGAGATGGGCAAAGAGCAATTTAGAGGAGAGAGAGAGAGAGAGAGAGATGGGGCAAAGAGCAATTTAGAGGGGAGAGAGAGAGAGAGAGATGGGGCAAAGAGCAATTTAGAGGAGAGAGAGAGAGAGATGGGGCAAAGAGCAATTTAGAGGGGAGAGAGAGAGAGAGATGGGACAAAGAGCAATTTAGAGGAGAGAGAGAGAGAGAGAGATGGGACAAAGAGCAGATTTAGAGGAGAGAGAGAGAGAGAGATGGGCAAAGAGCAATTTAGAGGAGAGAGAGAGAGAGATGGGGCAAAGAGCAATTTAGAGGGGAGAGAGAGAGAGAGAGAGAGAGAGGGGACAAAGAGCAATTTAGAGGAGAGAGAGAGAGAGAGAGAGAGATGGGGCAAAGAGCAATTTAGAGGAGAGAGAGAGAGAGAGAGAGATGGGGCAAAGAGCAATTTAGAGGGGAGAGAGAGAGAGAGATGGGCAAAGAGCAATTTAGAGGAGAGAGAGAGAGAGAGAGAGAGATGGGGCAAAGAGCAATTTAGAGGAGAGAGAGAGAGAGAGAGAGATGGGGCAAAGAGCAATTTAGAGGAGAGAGAGAGAGAGAGAGATGGGGCAAAGAGCAATTTAGAGGAGAGAGAGAGAGAGAGAGAGAGATGGGACAAAGCAATTTAGAGGAGAGAGAGAGAGAGAGAGATGGGGCAAAGAGCAATTTAGAGGGGAGAGAGAGAGAGATAGATAGAAAGAGAGAGAGAGAGAGAGAGAGAGAGTTGGAAGGAAGATGAAGACGAAGGGAAGAATGGGTAATGGACCAATTATGATCGAAGCATAGGACGATTCTCAGGAAGTAATAAGACGAATGGAAACAAACCACTTGTAAAACGAACAACCACTAACTTCCATTACTCGGCTCGCCAGAAAAACCAAAGATTCTCACCTTTAATAATGAGATCACCACTGTCTGCCGAAAACCACACGTACATTTAGAGAGAGAGATTTACTTCATGAAATGACTCAACTTGTCTTCTTTTAAAAAACACTGATGATATGTTACAGGCGCGTACGCAGGGGGGGGGGGGGGAGGGGGGTTAACCCCCCCTTGGTATTCTTATGTGTATAAACGCCCCCTAAACAAAAACCCAACCCCCCCCCTTTGTTTTTGTTTTTTGTTTTTTTTAATAATAATAATAACAACAAAAAAATATTCCCACGGCTGACCTAAAAAAGGCGACCTTACCCCCCCCCCCCCAACGGAGCAAAATGTCAAATTTTCAAATTTCGAGACCCCCCCCCCCCCCCCCCCCCCCCCAAAAAAAAAAAAAAAGTGTCCTCTTACCCCCTGGTAAAGACCGGAAATTCGAATGTTAAATGCTTCATTTCTTTCGAAGAGGCAGACTTTCCCCTCTATTCAGAAGATGTACCCCTCTTTCTCCTTTGTACTCAATACGATATTTTGAAGATAAAAACATAGCAAATAAATAAAAGTCTTGTCTCTTTTCTCTAAACATGAGCACATTTCTCATATAATAAATTGATTGAGGGTTAAAATCTAAAATGCAATAAGCTAGAATTTAATTGGGAAAAAAGTCATTATGTTCATTATTAATCAAGCATTCTGACTCGTCAGATACGAATATCAGCATAAATCATACTCAAAACAACATTGAGGTTGGCTATTTGGAACGGGATGACCATCACGATGTCATCCAATCATAACACAGAATGCAACAGATTGTGATAAATATTGATCGATGTCGGGTGATCAAGTGATTAGAAAATTTCCAGAAGTGTGCAGAGTCTTATTTTGGCTCAGCGTCGTGCGCACGTGCAACTGTCCCATGTTTCGCGTTGCCGTTGCGTAACATGGGTGACATTGATCTCTTCTCAGTAACTAGTAGACCTTTAAGAGTGTGTTCTACGCGATTCCCTTATCATTAATCAACCTCAGCGGAGAACAGGAAGGGAATTTACTTATCCCAATTTTACTGTGTGAATAAGCACACGTACACACGCCATACCGGTCTTTTTTAATGTCTTTATTTAATTAGAATACTGTTTAAGTTTCAAGTTCCAGTTTGTTACACGAGGGATACTAATATTGTGTATTCATGCTGCGTGTCTGAGACACGTTGCTTTCAAGATCTTACAAAATATTTGTTTTGATTCAATTCCTTATTGATGAGCCAGAAGGCTGTTTTCTACATAACATTTTTACATTTATACCCATAGCTTTAGTCACAGCTCGCGTTCGGGTTCGTAGCAAACGAATATTACATACACATGTCCTCCTATTCATATCCTAATAATTATGGCTTCATTTTTGTTTAATGCACCCCAATATGATCATAGAGCTTTGGGAAACTTTAAATGATATATGAACATTTAATAATAGTATTGATACAAAATTAGTTGAAATTAATTGAGATCAAGACGTATAAATTTAGCAAGGTGTGGAAACATTATACTCCAAAAAGTACATTCAAATGAGGGGGAACAAAAATATAATTTATGAGACATTTTTTAATTCGAATTTTGAATTAAGACCGTTGGTATAACAAAATTAATCTACGAAATATAAAATGTAACTTACAATTAGATATAAGAAAGCAATATCGATCACATAGTTTAACACAAGGAATACATTAAACGTTCGTGTCGTATCATATTAATCATCCAAAAACTAAACCTAAAATGCAGCATTATTTTCACTGAGGGTATGTGTATAATGTATGAAGTATTATTTCCTTTTTCCTAGATTTTCATTCCGCTAACGTTTTAAGAAGCTGTGACACATGTGAAGGCCTAATGAACGCGAAGACACGATCCGCACCTCATTGCTTATTGGTGCTTACAATGTCACGTGACTTCTGGGAATAAGAAGGCGTCACTACCGGTTGTTGACGGTGCTATATTATACAGCGTTCTGTTTTTCTTTATCTGTTTGTCATTTGCCTTCACCATTGATCTGTCTGTTGTTTCTCTGTAGCTGACGCAAGCAGACAAATAATGACTAGGTTTATCCTATGAAACCACCCACACCAAGGGACTATTTTGTTGTTCTCCTTCCACGCCCCCTTCCACTCAGCCTACACCCACGGGAAACAGCTCGGAACTAAACACTTAAAAGAGTCAATGTTCATGTATGGTTTCAAACCTAACATACTATGCAACACTAAGCTTTTTCTCAGGTATGAAGAGAGTGTATCAAGTTCATCAATTCCCGGTAGTCGGCTTGCCTGGTTGGGAGATTATTTTGGATTGAGTCTTCATTGCAGACACTTTGATCTGGTGTGAAGTTCAATATAAAATCTAGCATGGAATGACCCATTTCTGGCCAAACGTCTAATATGACCAAAATTTCGACACGCCATTAGTATGCAATGATATTTTACTAAATTATTATTATTTACAATTTAACTAATGCGTTTATACCAATAGATCATTCTTCTCAATGTTCTTTGCTAATGAATTAACTAGAAATTAATTTAGCCGTTTAATAAAATTCGATGTTTAATCGGCACTTTGAATTCAACGCTTGTAGAAAACTCGTTAATATCAGCAAACTGTGAATTGAATTAAACATAATCATGCAAATCGAATAATGGCAAGACTTAATACTTATGCAGTT